GCTATCAGATGTCTTTCCACAAATTATAATATTTGATAAACTGTAATTTTAAACTGTAAAACTAGTAATAATTTAAGTGTTTAATGTGGTTAGAAATTTTAAATCTTCAAGAATTTCAATTTCTACTTCTATTTTTTATTTATTTATTTTTTTGCTTGTGCTTTTTCTATTTTGCTTTTTTGACTATTTTTAATGCCTAAATCCATATTGGTCATAATTCATAAGCTCTTTCTCAATAGAAGGATTAAAGCTCTGGAAGTATAGCTCTTTTCAGGAAGTTAAATAGAGAGTAAGCAGTTGGGCTTATCTGACAGAACTGTAACCAAAATGGAAAAAAAAACATTTTGAAAGAACATGCAACATCACAGGTCTGTGTCAGTAAATTGGGATGAAAGATTGGCTTCAGCCCTTTTCCGAAGCTCATTGTGCTACAGTGTGTGGAGTGTAGACGCAAGGACCCAGATGCACAATAGAGAGGTTCAACAAAAATCAAGAATTAATGGCTAAAAAAAGTCTAATAAACAAACTCTAAAGGGTAACAAGCAGATATTCAAAAAACTGCCATAAACCAGGAAATGAACAAAACAACACAGAATAAACAGAAAATCTCACAAAGACAAAGAGGGAGACAGGACTACTTACACACTGAGGGCTGATGAGGGAATGACAGGAGGGGAATTACACAGAGGTGAAAGTAATTAACAACACAGAGTTAAAAGAAACTACAGATGACTAATGTTCTAATTTAGCACATCAGTCATTTACAGTGCGTTATCCGAGGGAAAATCACCAGTCAGCTTTTGTGAACTTGGATGATTTGTCTTTTTACTAATATTCACCTAAGGCGGTTAGACAGACATACTTAGAAATTTACAGATATTCAATTATATGTCCCAGTGAAGTACACCAGACCTCCACAGATTTCTAGCAGAGCTGGTGAATATGTTTAGATGAAGAAGTGAATGATGAAAAAAATATGTGTATTGCCCGATGAGACTTCAGAGGCTAAATACGTTTGCTCTCTTGCTTACTTACTCCCTGATGCCACCACCAACCAATCAAGCTGCAGCTTACATCTGTCCAGACTGATATACATAAATTAAAGCAAAATGCAATAAGTTGACACCAAACATTTGTAATAGCAATTCAGTATCTGAACAGCTTCCACACCCTCTGTTCCCAACAAATAATGGTAAAACAAATGTGTTCTTGCAGAAAATTAGAGTGTAGACTTGGTCTTTGTCCTTTTCAAATAGAAAATGAAAAATCATTAAAATGTGTTTTCTCACTCTGACTTCCCAATTCTGATCTGTTTACTCGTGAGTCAAAGTGAAGGTAAATGTGCCAGATGTGATAACATTTCCTCTCTGTGTTCCTGAGAGATTTGCAAGAACGAGACAGATGTGTCACGTTGACCTTGATCTTTAACTGGCAGCGCCTAATTATTTCTTTCTTGAGTCTAAGTCAACATTTGTACCAAATTCTGAAAAAATAAATACGTTTAATAATTCAGGGCATTCACCAGACATTTCATTCATGAGAACATTTGAATATAGCTGACCACCCAAATCCATATTCCCACTAGTGGCTGCTGTCAGGCCAACGTCAGCATTGGTTGGTTCATCATTTCTCTTAGCTTGGCTAACTGCCCGTTTGGCCAGTTGCCCGTATCTTCCTGACCTCTGGTTTTACATGCTGTGCCCTGCAGTTTCCTAGAGCATCTCTTTGTCAATTAAACCAAAAGAGTTGCAAGTTTTTAGTAGTATAGAATATCAAATTTTTACATTTATAAATATATTAAGGTGATGCCAAGAAGAGGTCCTTCATTGACTATAACAACTATTCAGTTTTTTTTACCAATAATTCCATGACACGTGCAGGACAATGTTCCTGTTCAGAAATGGCTTAAAATAGGAGCCCACTCTAAGCATATGCCAGATGTGCTAGATAGAACGAGCCTAATCCATGGCCCCACCTTCAAACTCACAGAACCTGAAAGATCTACTGCCAGCACTCTATGAGACACCACGGGACATACCCAGAGGTCCTGTGTCCATTTTAATATCGCAGCTAACTGGTGCATGCGTCTTTCAGTTCAAAACTTTTGCATTTTAGCCTGTTGTATTCCTGGGAGCAGGGTCTGTGAGTAGCAAACTATTCCTCAGAAAACAAAATTAATCTTTCTGGGCCACGTTCAGTACTAAAATCATTTTTAGGACTGGGCTGCAGAATGTTAAAAGCCATTGTTTTTCTTGTTTTGTGTGTTTTTTTTTTCATGCACGCATCTGAGCACCAGCAGGATTTGTTATGCAAAAGAGATTGCTCTAAATGCTCCAGTGTCAGTTTGTGAAGGTCAGTAGCATAATCAGCCATTTAAAAGCATTGCTGTCAATTTGTGTCGACAGCCTACCACCACAATCACATCAAACCGAGTGATTTTTGGAATATGAATTTCAGAGCTAAAAATAAGGAAAGCAGTGATTTTACCTTCACCTGGTCCCCGCTTATAAATATTACTGTAGCGCTCAGCAATCGTGGCAGAGTTTCACCATTTATCGACAATAGCAACACTATTTAAATCTGCTGGATGGATTTGTTGGCAGTGGGCATTTTTTTGTTTTGTTTTTATCTGCCGTATACAGCACAACGCTGCACTCAGGACAGCTGAATAATCGTTAATTGGCACTGAGAGCCTGTGATTCGCATGTGGGAGCAGTGATTATATTTATAGCCATGTTAAAAATCAAACATGATAGCAAGTAAAACTGGCTGACATTTAGTGATACACGGACTTGTAAAAGTCAATCGTGTTTCATCAGAGGAACGTGTATGCACATGAGAGAGAGAGAGAGCACGACTGAGAGAGAGACAATCCCTGTAACAGCAGTAGCTGGAAAAAGGAAAGTGATAATTGAATGCTGCAAATTTGCTGCTCAGCATTACTTGATTACTTGATATAGAACATATAATTATATATGTCCTGTGTATAAAAAGAATCCTCTCTCCCGCCCTCTAGTAACGCACAAAAGCTGTACCTGTATTTCAGCAGCCACAGCTTTGTTTGATGTATGGTGCACCTTCAGGATACATTTGGGGGGAGTGGGTCGGAGTCAGAAACAAACTAATATGTTAGTGCTTTTCAGAAGGTTATAAAATGGCAACTCAAAACATAAAACACCTTGATCAATTTCCATACAATTAGCTACAGCTTTGCATTTTTCTTCCCGATAAATGAAATTCTGCATGGCTGTAATTGCTCTAGTACATAGAGTAAGATAAAGTATAGCGAATGCAGATTAATTGCTTTTCTATGACTATACTCACAGAAATTAGAAATTCAATACATTTTAATACAGTGTGACATTAATTAACTTAGTCCCCTAGTTGATAATTCAACTTTCATTTCAAGCATTTAAACACAGTAGTCAGGATAATGCATGCAATGTGTTTGTCTGAATGCAGAGTGACAATAAAAAAAAAAACAAGAGACCATCTGTGATGCTAACGAGCACCCGTGTTTGAAAATCTAATGTTACATACTAGAAAAACTGTTATACGCCTGATAAAGACGTTGATGGGGAGTTATCGGGGCAACCGGGCTTATGAATACCTGCAAAATGATTAAAACAGATCTTTGCAGTTGTTCCTGCAGCAGGAGGTGTCACTGAGGCTACGCACACGCATGCACGCACATTTGCTGTTGTGACAGGAATTCGGTGGTATAACCAGCATTTGCACATCTATCAACTAGACAGACTTTAAGTTAGAACCCTTGCATTTATCTTTTAGAAGAAAATAATTTGCTCATGCAGGCAGAAGAGAAACTCCCATCGTTAGATCGATTTCTTGTGCTTGTCTTAGGAAGGATAGGTGTGGATGGTGTTGGAGGGTGAGTCTTTCAGGTGTTCACAAAGAGCACAATATGGCCCTATTGGTGTGCACAGTAACTTATTTAGGTGTCTAACCTGTTGCTCGTTGCTTATGGCATTGTCACCCATGTGTCACCCAACCACCGGTCCAGTGGGTCACCCCTTTTCCATATTTATTTATGTATTTATTTTTAAGCATCACCATTAAATTGTCTCTTTTCTACACTCCAATCAATGAGCACCAGGTTCCCCCACATGGAATACTTACAGTGTGACCACTACTGTAATCATTTTAGCATGCTAACATTACAGTACTAATGAGGCCAGTTTTACAAAGAGTATGATGCCTTTGTTCACATTTTCTCAATAAATCTATAGTCATTTAATACTGTATTGCGCACGTATTCATTCTGTTTAAACAGGGGATTATGAGGCCCCATTATGTAATTTTGTAGCTGTTGTCAGATTAGGGGCTTTTGAAACGCACATTAATATTAAATAACTATTTTGCAGGTTTAACAGCTGTACAGTTGACAGCACAAAGTTGAGGTTTATCATTGTTATCACGTCAAACACTTGATTTTCCATGTGCTCTAGAGCACTGAAAGTGACAAAGCTGTCTAGCTTGGGGTGACTGTATTAACATTAACCTAGTTGCTAGTTTGTCTCTTTTTATGGGAACAAGGCACAACCAACCCATGCGGGATGCAGATGTGTTCTCACTGGGGCTGCACAGGAAATACCTCTTTTAAGTGCTCTCTTCAATTTGAAGTGTAATCGTCTGTGGATTTGGCTTGATCTCATCCGCAGAGATGTAACTGACAGAAGAAATGAAAAATAAAAAGTGGTCAAATCCCTGTGGCCTTTTAGAAAAAAAGTTTTTATACACAAACAAAAACACATTTCAGATATTTTGCCCCTGACACAATAAGAACAGCTGTTATTGAGATAAAAGGCACATTTCCTTTAGCTTCAGGCTAAAAATATGGCTGCTGTGCCTATCAGGTGGTAACAAAGCGTGTCTTGTGGTGAGGAAATAAGTAGGGCATTTTAAACCCTCATATATTTGAAATTTTAAAACAATTCTGGGTCTATATTCCAAACTAATTTCTTTCTCTTTTTGTCTTTCAGACCCAGTGACCAGAAGGAAAGCCCCATGTCTGAAGTCCAGAAAGACAAATTAATGGTTAAGAGAAAACAAGCCAAGTAGCAGGGTTCCAAATCATGAGTCATTATTGATATCATCCAAGATTTTTATCCGAAACATCATCAACCTTAACCTTCATCACAGAATAAGTTTACAAGAAAAAGAGTTCTGCACTACAAATCAGAATAGTTTAATGTGAAGAAAAATGCTGTACGACTGTATATTACTGCACAACTTACATTGCTAATAGGTCAGCTGTTATCATCTAGGCCTTGCACATCTCCATTATCTCTTTCCTTATTACCACAGTGGAGTGCATTTACGTGCACACGGCATGAGCGATAACAGGCCACATCTCACCTATTGTTCTATCTGTGAGGAGTTGCATCTTCGTGTGTCTGGCAGATATCCCTTTATATTAATCATCAGAATATTCCAAGTGCTTGTTACTAGCATCTCCCTTACCATTTTCGTGCTTTGACTCTGGTTTGTGTAAAAGGGATATGTGATATATACGGCATCACGGATATGCATTATTCATATCTGTGCATGGAATTGCACTCCCAGCCATTCCATAATGATTATCGTCATGATTACAGCTCCCTGCAGATCGGTAGAAGACCAGGAACTTGATGGAGACCCTCAAAACTTTTGACCTATTCCAGAAGCAACACACGCCCACGCCCCACCCAAAAAAATAAAAACACATTGTCTTCACTTTTTCCCTTCCTGTATTCCTCTCACTTTTTTCTTTGGGCTTTATCTTTTGTATGTGTACATAAAGCAATTTCAAATCTTATAGTTTTGTACATGTAATTTTTATGGTGTGTGGATATTTTCTAATAAAATTAAACAAAAATGGATGACCTTCTCCAGACTGGCCACTCTGAGTATTTGATTTTTTGGTTGATTGCTGTAGTTGTTAACTAAAACGAAAATGAACTTTAAAAAACAAAAACTAACATTTTTTAGCATGTAACTGACATTCGTTGTTTTCATTGCAGATAAATATTTTGGAAAAACATTTTTATACCTTTATACCTTTCACTCTGAAATGTGTTATATTATATTATAGTAAAGGTAAGTGACAGAGCAACAAACTGGGCGTACAGTTCAATAAAGTGGGACCTTAGTTCATCATCGTTATTCAGCATCAGTCTATCTCAGTATTGTTGGCTTGAGACTCCACAAGGAAACTTAACCTTCTTGATCTGCAAAGTGCTGCATGTGTAAAAAAAAACTCTGCTGGGGATAATGTTGCTATCCTCGTTCAAAAATACTGATTATGCAAAATTATATTAATTGGCCAGAATAACTGCCATTTTTTCACGTTTTCAAAAAAGGTTTTCACATATCAAACAACAATCTGAACCTAAATGAGAACCCAAGGGCATGCAGCACATCTGCACATATGATGCCATATTGTGATTTAAATCTATTTAGTAATATAATTTACAAAATGAACATCTACTGATTGAAACTATGAGATAATTAGGAAATATTCTGTTAGATTAAAAGTAAAATAAAGTGAGGATTAGAGTTACATCCTTTACATACAGACCCCTCATTTTTGACAGTACAGCCTTATTTTATTCAGTCTTAGATGGAGCTTTCTGTTATTCTTCATTCACACGTAATCATAACAGGTGGAGGGAGGTATAGTACTTTGACATATATGCAAGAGACCTGCTGGGCAGTGTAAACGGTGTTTGTGCGAGTCTGTGTGTTTGTGTGTGTGCTGTTTAATGCAGCAGCAGCTGTCCTTCTCTTGTCACTCGCTCTCATTTCTGGGCTGAGAATATAATACAATATAATATAATAAACTATCTGTTTATTCAACCAATCAATTTTTTAATCACTTATCCAATAATTCAGGGTCACCGAGGGGGGCTGGAGCTTAACTCAGCTTTTCACTGAGCAAAAAGCAATAGTACTACTATACTATTACACTAATTAAAGCAATTGCATGAAATTCAGGAGTGCGGTATGTTAGAGCTCACATTGAATGTCCGAGATCAACGATTGCTGTTGGGACCAGAGTTTTGTTTCAGACGTGGCGTAGACAGATTCACGATTCGATTCTCCTGTCATCTGAGTTCAATTCAGACGAGAAAGCAAAGGGAGAAAAAGAAAATTCAGATGCCTTCAGATTAACCCTCATCACAGTTTCAATCTTCACAAAGAAGCACTTCTGAGTAGAGGAATGCTTCATGTATTAAATTACAGTGTTTGTGATGTCCGAAATGAAAAATCAGCAAAGCTTTGGTTGGAAATTCTAATCAAATTTATCCATATTTACTCACATTATTTTTTGCATATGCTGACAGATGGATTAATCCAACATGGGGACTAATACACTAACACACTGTATTATACTAGAGCATTACAACCTTTAAAAGGGAGGTGACCATTTGCAAAAAAGTGCTGTGCGTTTCTCCATCCCACTTATTGCTTCCTGTTACCATGCTAAATCTGTCTGCTTTTCTCCTCTCCCTCCTCTCCCATTATCTCCTCCCTTCATCTATTCACCTCAGTCACCACTGCTTTTCTCCCTCATACTGCACTGTCCCAACTTACAGGCCACACATCTCTCCATCTCTCCCCTGCTCTGTTTTCCCTCTCATATGTAATACCCAGTCTGATCTCTACAACTCCATTCTGCTCCCCTGATCTACTCCATTTCTCAGTTCTCTGCTCCGTAGTTCTTGGCAGGCAGCCATCGCCAGATCAGCTCTTCAACATTCTTGTCTCCCCGTTCTCCTTTACTCTCATCACCACCTGTTAACTCTATTTCCTGTCCCTTCCATATTTTTTTTGTCTTTATTCATAAGGCATAAAGAATTACAATGGATGAAGTTTAATGAAGGTTAAAGAAAAATATATCCGTACTACCAGATTTACAGAAGGGAACAAAGGGCCAAAAGAGGAGGTAAAAAGATGTCATCCTGTATGTTATGAGAGGCTCTAGAAAATGTAGAACCTGGAGTCTCCTTTTGAGAAAGCACCCAATATTAAACTGGGATTCATGTTTCACTCTTGGAGTTTTACAGCAGGAAGTGAATGTGATTAAAGTAGAACAACGCAATACAAAACAAAATCAAAACCATCCTAAGAGTCATTATCATCACGAAGAATTAATTATTTATAAACGGTCACTTTTGCATGTGTACATGTTCAAAAGTTTTCCTGAAAGGAGTATGAATAAAACAAGAGGCATTTAAGATGACAACACCCCATCACAATTACCAGGATACTGTATAATAAATGTAATAAGTTGTGTTGCTGAATTCATTAATCAAAGCAGATACTCATGTCAACATTCTTGGGAAAGTATTAAGCTAAACTGTATCTTACACTGAATAGTCCTAGTGCTTTCGGGAAAAGTATTTTTACATTTATTAATATGTAAATCAATTCAGCAAGGCACTCCAAATTTAATCAGACCATCTTCTCTACAGGGGCCAGACTTAGTGTACATGTTGAATTCTTGTCATGTTCTCAAGTTAATGTTCACACAAAGTAAAGTAAAACAAAAGTCTGCACACAGATATGTGTCAGCACAATGGAATTAAGAAGAAGAAGAAATGCAAAGAGCAGAAACTTTTATCGTGGTGTCCTGGGCAGGTCACGAAATTATCAGCATAGCTGCAGTGAGTGTTTCTTTCTAGTGCTTGTTAAATCTAAACCTTGAAAAGTAGGGAAAAAATCTAATTATAATTTTAATAGGTTAGAAGATATACCACAGAGTCAGTGCAAGCCTGATACCTGATAATAAAAAAAAGATAGTAATGCTTTCTTTATAGAGACTTTTAGCCTTGACTAGAGAGCCTTGAAAATCCTCTTACAAATGCAACACCAAGTCATATTAGTAGATAAAGAAGTCCATGCATTGTGTGCATCTGAAAAACACCCACATAAATATTAATAAATTTGTACTGGACCTTTCAAAGGAATTGTACAAGGTGTTATAGGGTATAATAGAAACAGTACAGGAAAGGAAAGGTCCATAAACAACCTTAGATCCTCAGATGTCTCACATCTGTGGGCCTGAATGATAGAAAATCAGAAAGGAAAGACATTCAGAGAAAGGTTTGCATATGAATATGAGGGTTTGTTAAAAATGTATTTTTAAAGGTTGTTAATGTTCATTTTCTTTATTATTTACTTTATGTACCATCACTACTTGTGTGGCTGAATGATTTAACTGTGAAACCTCTTTTTCCCCCAGACTGCCTGCACACTCAGTGGCTTGATGTTTTGAGTTTCTTTTTGAATATATTTTCCCTTCTTGATCTAGTCTCAGTGGACTGATACAAGAAATGCTGGAAAAGAAAGCATCGGAGGACATGTGGCCAACATCCTAAGATAGATTTAAACCCACGACATCTGGTGGAATCTCATTTGCAAGTGTTAAACATCCCCTCCTCGTTCACACTTGGGGCATCCACTGTTACACCTGGATGTGTTTTGCCTGTGAGGACTCCCTTCTCTCCCGTGCAGTCTACACAGGAAACAAGCAGGCCAAATCGGTGTTGCCCATTATTTTTCTGGATCTTCCACATAAAGAAAACTTAGATGGTTTTGCACTCGCAGAGGAACAAACTAGCAAAACTGCTAGGACAGCACATCTGTCAAGCCCTACATATGGTCATCAGTTTGTGCTTATAATTAGTCTTGTAACCTAAAACAAAGGACTACGCTTATGTAATAAAAACAAAACAAAGTCAATGAGAAAAGCAACACTTGATTATTTGCCCTGATTACTTTTAAGTAAGGACAACATCATTATACACTAGTAATAATAATAACGATAATAATATGTTAATTATAGTAGTGGTTACAGTGGCAGCTAAACTGAACTTCCATATAGTCAGGATGCTAAAGTGTGTGCTTTTTAAAGAATGTATTTTTGGTTACAATCATAGGTCTTATGGCTTGATCAGAGTGTGTTTATGTAACCAAAGCATTTTGTATTGGCCCACCATTAAACTTTTTTGAGCTATGATTGCCTGTATAGCTGTTTACTTCCTAGTGCTGTAATATAAAATAGCCATAACACGCATGTTTCCAGGTGATAAGCCACAACATCATCCAATCCAGTCCATCCCAACTGTATCTATAGAGCACCTTAAAAGCAACATAGCTGGAAATAAAATTAAATACAAAAACACATATTAACAAAAAACAAATAAATAAAGCATGTAAATAAAACATTTACAATAAAAACCAGAAGAATTAATACATAATATTTACACTGTTACCTTCAAGCAGTAAAGAAAGCTGGTGGACATAAGGTAGCATTTATTCCAACTTCATAACATCCTAATAATGTCCAAATATGTTAAAACATCAGCCAATACCCAATTAACTTGAGGTTACTACAGGTAATGAAAATCCCAATACAGAGATGTTACTGTTTTATTACCTAGAGATTATTATATTGTTACCAGTATGTAACTATACTCGTATTAATGTGCTTAGCCTCATAGGTGTATGTTTGTTTCCACGTTATTAAAAAGTTGTTACCCAACTAAAAGCTTCAATTAGTATTACCTTACTAACCATTGGTGATACAATGTATAAGTTGGTTGTTAATTTAGCAATTATTACCCTCTTCTTTACACCTTATTACCAGATAGTGTTAGATAGTACTGCAAATCCTTGTTTAAGAGTGTTATAGTCTCTTATTACGCTCTTTGAGAGCCTCAAACATCTATTCTAGGATCTAGTCTTTGCTCCTGCAAAGACTTTTTCAGCAAGGTCCACAATAAACGTTATTTTTGTAGTCCATACATATCCGTTGCAAATTACATTTTGGATTTCGTTCTTTATAGACATTCATTGGCAAAGTGTCATCAGAGTGGTGCCAAC